TCACTTAAAGAATTTATGATAATAGCAAAGAAAAGAAGAATGGGGAAGGAAAAAAGTAAACCATACATTCCTTATTCTAACAAAGAAGCCAAAGAATGCTTTCTTCATGTTTATAGCATTAATACCATGTGCTTCTTCCAACAGAAACCAAAACAGCAATCTCCATTTCAGGCCCACAAAGGTTTAAAGGTAAACTAATCACCGCAGATGTGTGAGGGAATGCTGCGTAAGTCGAGCACAAAAACAAGGCAAGAACACAGGCCGGGGAGTATTAGGAACGCCTCCCTGCCGGGCCCTGGTAAGGGAGGGCTGGCAATCCCTTCCCAGCTCAGGAATCACTACCACCCGTCGTGTGTGCAGACTTCAGAGTCCCAGACTCACGAGGAGGCTGGTAACATCCACTTCTGAGCAGATCTGCCACCTGAGCCAGGCACCTCGGCGCTCTGAAGCACAGCCCGACATGGAGGGAAAGGAAGGGCCACCCTTCCTGTCACCACAGTGCCCCTGGCAGTCCACGCCTGCCCCGGCACAGCCGGCCAGAGGAGCACGCTGCTCCTGTGTGACTGGCCTCCCCACACGGACTGCTGTTCCAGCTACTTGTGCTCGTGCGTGGTGTCACCTGTTAAGGTGACTGTCTTCTCTGCGCCTATGGCACACAGCAGCCTCCACTCAGTAAACGCTCGCTGAATTATATCACTGTTTCTCTCAGCCTTGGTGTTTCTTCATTTCAAAATCGGTGACAATTACCTTTACAGCCTTTTCCACAGAGGTGTCATAAGGCTCCAATGAACTAACTTTGTAACAAATCTAATGGGTGCCAGCCAGCAGGTGGGCACCACACTCAGTGCAATGAATGAAGTTACACAGACAAGCACAGAGTCTACCCAGCTGGGCTTACATGGCTTCTGATCAAACCTCAGAGCAATCAGGTAGGGCACAAACATTCTAGGAAGACGTGTGCAGTCATGATTTTGGGACTCGGGTTCAAAGTGGCAAGGATGGTCCCTAGACACTCAGAGATGGAAGCATCGAAGGACCCCAAGGCTGGGAACATTCGCATGTGGCAAACAGGAATGGAGACAGAGGTGTGTGCAATACCAGGGTGCCAGACGCGCACCGAGAGGGTGCTCCAGGGGCCTGGCTGGCCTAGGGGAGCCCATTCACCAGCCTCCGCCATCTTCAGTTACAAGTCCTTTAGGAAATCTACGTCAAACCTCTTCCTCCAAAACCCTGGAAAGCTCCCAAATGAAAGGCACCACGGTCCTGGGGAGAGAGCAGAGGCCAGGAGCTCACAGTCGGACAAGTCTAGGCTCTGCTCTGGGCTCCGCAGCTCAGTCACTGGACGGCCTCTCCCTACAACGGGGTTGGCAGAACTGGCAGAACCTCTTCGCCGGCTTCCATGCAAAGATGGCACCGGTAACTACCCATAATCCACTAAGCACAATGCTGGGCCACGGCAGACACTAAACAAATCACCAGTCCTCTTTGCTTCTGGGTGAAGGATGAAACGGCATGAGGCTAGATGATACAAAATCCCCTAACCCGCATCTTCAGTCTCAGGGCACAGACAGGACTAAATGTCCCTTCAGGCCCCAATGTGGGTAGAAGTGGGACAGCCCGTCTAGACAAGTCAACGGGAGCGAACGGCCTGGTGATAAAGACCTGCTACACATGCTCCTAATCACCCATTTCTCCAAAATTGTAACTGAAATCCCCCGAGGGCTAGTGAACGCGGTTCCTCCAGGCCACAGTGAGCAAAGTTACTGTCTGTCACGCAAGGTGTAATCAGTACGCGGCGACAAGGAGAAAGAAGCTTCCAGCATCCAGAACAAGACTGTGAGGCTGGGTCAGATCCTTGGAAGGAGAAAAAAATCGCAGAGGCAGTGCTTTTAGGTGAAGGCCTTTTGTTGGCACAGGTACGAAAGTGGGAGAAACAGAGGCATTCTTATGCTCAAAGAACGAGCCCCTTCATACCTTCGAGTGTTTGCTCAGAATCAGCAGTGCTCTTAGCAACTGCACACGTGACGGCACCAGCGTGGTCTTCCTGGGAGCCCCAGCGACCTCTCCACAGCAGCACTTGGACACGCTCCATATTTACTCACGGTGCAATCTGAGCCTGACTTCAGTGAGCAATTTCATAAGCCTTTTAAGGGTTACTACATTTTATTCCTCTAAGAGGCCAATCCAAAGTAGCAACAAAAGAATAGTTAAACACAAGAAAAAACACCTCCTTTGTGCTCCTCAAGAAAGGCAGCCTTGGTAATTAAGGAGGTAAAGTGTTTTATTCTCGAGAAACTTTCTCTTACAAAGATCAGTCCAGTAATTTTCCAAGGGGAGATTAGTAGTCTTCCACTCAAACCTGCTTGAAGATAAGGAGGAGTCGAAACGGTGTGCACATATAATAAAGAGCAGGTTATCTGGCTCTGGTCTGCGCCACATCCCAGGAATCATTCTACTTAACAAATGCTGCATAACATGTTCCCCCCAAATTGAACATCTTACAAAGCCCATTTTATATTCAATCTTTCCTATCCTCTCTCCTTTAGGCTGGATGATTTCTCTTGATCTATCTCCAAGCACATCAAGTCTTTACTCTGTCATCTCTATTGAGTTGCTAAGTTCATCCAGTAAAAAAAATTTTTTTTTTTAAGATTTTATTGGGGATCTGGGGGAGGGGAACAGACAAATTGCTGTCCTTTTGTTCTTCAGTTTAGTTGTGGAGGATGTTGCTTCACTGGCCCATGTTGGTATTATCATTGCGCTCTTCCCAGGTAAGGCAGATTGGTTGCCGGCCATTGGACAACCACTCATGGCGGCTCACGGCAGCTCACGGGAGACCACTGAAGCCTACACCGTCACCGGCAACTCACAGCAGCCCAGCTCCAGGTCGAGCTGTTATTCACCATCTTAGCTGTAGAGGGTGCAAGGTCACTGGCCCGCATGTGGGAACCTAACCGGGGCCCTGCTGCTCAGAACTGGCATCCCAAGCCAACTCCTAACCAATGCGCCACTCGGCAGGCCCTCCAGTAAAATTTTTTAAATTTTATTTTGGATACTGTAATTTTTCAGCTCTAGAATTTCCATTTTTTTCTTTTTTTAAATAATTTATTTCTTTAACATACACTATCTTTTCATTCATTAAAAGCATATTTTCCTTTACATTCTTGAGCATAGTTACAACTGCTTTAAAATCTTTGTCTGCTAAACCCAACTTCTGTGTCATCACACAGTCTCTGCTAATTAACTTTCTCTTTCCACTTATGAATTTTCCTGTGTGCCATGTAAGTCTGGATTTTATCCTGGACACTGTGAGTGCTGTTGTGGAAACTCTGCATATATTTCTCTAGAGAATGTTATTTTTGCTTTAGCAGGCAATTATCTTAGTTGGACTTAAACTGTATTCTTTAGAGTGGCCGCTCAAATCTCAATACAATGGTTTTATACTTAGTTTAACTGCTTGGTGCCTGACCCACGCCTGTGTGGTGGCTCAGGCATCAGGGGGATTTAGGTGGTTGGTACAGAGAACTTGGAGCTTGCTTTGTCCGTTCCAGGGTTACCTCTTTCACCTTCAAATGGCTGTGGTCGCTTCAAAATGTCCTTTACTTCTTTACACTAAAAGGTCTGCATATTTTCTATCAGCGTTTTAACTGCCCTGCATGACACACTGTGCTTCTTCCAAGTGTTAGTCACTTCAACTCCAGAATCTGCCTGTTTGGATCAAATTTGGGCATCTTCACATAGCTGACTTCTGTCCAGTTCGTAATTACTATTTGTCGGAGGATCAGTCCAATAGTAGCTGACAGGGCCATTAACAGCAGCAGAACCTACACAACTTAATTCCCCCCCCGAATTTTTAGTTTTTCTCACAATGTTGTGGGGGATGACTCGTGTGACACCAGGCAGGCAACTAAGGAGCTGAGGTTAGCGCTGCTTCCAAGTTGGGTTCTCGCTCACAAGTCTGGCACCTTGACGAGTCTCCTGCCCTCTCCTCACCGCATCTCCAGGGCTTCTCCACATGGACTCGGCCGCTCACAGCACGGTGATCTCAGGAAATCTGCACTTTCGCATGGTGACTGGCTTCTGGGAGGCCCGAAACGGAACCTGCCAGGCCAATGTGGGGCTCTACCAGAAATAGCACAGCATCACCACTCCTGCCATATTTTAGTGTTCAAAGTAGTCAGAGGGCTTTAGTCACCCAAATTCAAGAGGATGGAGAAATAAATGCCAACCCTTGGTGGGGGCGTGGTGAAGTCACATTGCAGGATACATGCAGAATGACAGATTATTTGTATGGCCATCTTGGAAAAATGTAATCTGCCAAACGTTAAGTTCGGTACTTGATTAAGCCAAACATATGCCACCTAAGGTAAAGCTCTAGGAAGATGCAGGTAGACTACGTGAAGCACATGGTATAATTTTCCTGCTATCTTTTTTATTGCCTTCTCCTATTATCAATCTAATTAATCTCTAAGCTATTCAGCACAAAATAGGCTTCTCATATATTCTATTGAGTTCCCAAAGATTTACTATTATGTCCATTTCAAAATAACTAGAAGAAACACTATGATGTTATCATTCAAAATGTAGGGCACAGATACACATTAAGGTTTATGTTTTCTTAAAATAATGTCAATAATAACTACTATTTACTAAGTATCTACCATGTGCTTGAAAATTTCTAGGCTTTTTAAATACCTGTTTTCATTCACTGCTCTCTATGTGATGCGTGCTGAAGAACACAAGCTGAGGTCAAACACTGGCAGTTTCTGAGAAAGCAGACTGACTCAAACACACCAAGGACAAACACAAAAGTAAATGACAAAAAATATTAACAATTATGACATCTTATGCTTATCTGTGGGAACAGACACATAGACACAGCTCAAGTACAGTCTAAGCACCTCCAGCTTTTGCTCCGAAAGAATAAATATATTCTAATTCTAAACATGATATTCTAAATGAAGTCCCACGTGTATGGTAATAATAAGAAATAACCTTACTTTGTCCTGGTTATCTCTGTTCTTGTAACACATATTTCCGATCAGACGAATGAGATGAGACTTGAGCCCCTCGGCCATATTTGAGACGCTGCCTTCCGCCTTCATGTGGCCACAGGTACTGAAGATGCTCATGCTGTCCATGCCGGCCACACGGACCAGTCGCAAGAGATCTAGCCCAGGGAGGATAGGAGAAAACTTCATTTTTCATAGAAAAGTGTTTAGGATTTTGCACTAGTTTTCCATAAGTAAATCTGATTTATTTTAATGAATTAAAATAAACTAAAGGTAGCGAGTACTGAAAGCTTTCTTTAAATAATGATTAGAAGGCTCTTCCACTTTCGCTTTAAAATTTTTCATGACTCTGGTTTTGGAAAGCCATAATGATTACCCCAACTCAGACTTCCTATTTATCCACAAAGAAGTTGGGTAACAATGTTCTACCATCTTCCTTAGAAAACGGTATCCAATTCCAGCTTCTTTATGAAAGAGCTGATGGGATGACTACAGTCAGCGAAGTCTACAAAACACCACCGATTTGTAATGCGCCATGTGACAGAAACCGAGACACACTGGTCTTTTCTCATTGGCCAGGTAATCAGAAGGCAGCATGTCCTCCCTGTGGATCTATTCTGGCCACATTCAGAGAAACACTTTAATATAGTTCTACTCTATGAGATGCCTTTCAGCAGCCTCTGGAAATCAGCAAGCTTCCCAAGGCTGTATTTAAGTGTTTCCACATTATCTCTTTGAACCATCTCAGCAAGCCTATTAAAGACAGCTATCCCTTTCCCCATTTTATAATGAAGGAATCAGGATCGGAGGAGTGAGTCATTTCAGAGTTGGGATGGACACCCATGTCTGCCCCCGCTCCAAACACATGCTTTTTTCACAATGATTCAGCTTCCCTTGTTCGTGGTGTTTTGTCACTAAAAGCGCTGCGTTCAAAAATAAAACACATATAAAATTCTAACTGCCTTCTATAGCTCACTGCTAACTTATCTTCCATCTGGATACAAATTCATCTTTCTTAGCATATGGGTCTCCAGAATAAGTACAATCCTTTTTAAAGAAAAAAAAAATAGCAAAGAGTGAAGAGCAACCATAACCCAGGAACAGGCTCTACTTGAACTATTTTGCAAACAGTTTTTCAGCAAAGATGGTGACATTTTAAACACTGTTTTCTGGTTTAAAAGCAATTTTCTTACAAGAATCGAATACATAATTACTATGTGTAAGGCACTATTCTTCGTGCCCCATAAATGTAATTAGGAAAAATAATTTACTAACAAATTTGGAAACACTATAGTAACATAAAAACCGCCACTATCACGATGGAAACCTCCCATCAACAACCCCCACCATCGTCATCACAACCACCTTTGATGAAACATCCCCCACGCACACCTGTGTAAGAGGCATCAGTACCCTCGCAGACTCATGAGGTTTCCTGAGTTAAACAGAAGGTCATGGCAAAAAGCCCGAGCTGTTACCAAAACAGCACAATTCCTCTCAATAAAAAATATTCCCCCAAAATCTCAAAAATATGCCAATCCCCTGAAAATTACGGATCGGTTCCTGGACTTCTATTACAGTATTACAAGTCAAAGGTTTCTCAGTTACAGATGCTAATGTGCGGTATTCCACTCACCAACCACTCTCTCGAGCAGGCCGGGGTAAACCTGTAGGTAGCCGAGCAGGTCGCTGTTAGCCGTCATTTCACACAGGACGTCAAGGAGCCTAATTGTAACCAGCGCCTCCTAAAAGGAAATGGAAACATACGTTTTTAAGTCAAGCTACTGTTATATAAACCATAAGAGAATGAAATATTACAGTAAGTACTACACAGTCGGTGCTTCTAACACCTGTAAAGAGAGAAACAAAAGTGTCAGGAACAAACCAGAAGCAGTAAGCCCGCACACAAACGACCCTTTGCACTGAAGGCAGAAGCACCATCGGGGACAAGACTACGTGTCATCGTCATGTGTCTTCCCGGAGCAAAGAATCGGAAAAGTTCTTATTCAAGCAAAAATACCTTCCAACAGTGGAATAAATTCTGAAATTACTAGCTACACACATAACATTTATGCAAATACTTTCCTTTTAAACTGATCCTAGCAACGCAAGTTCTACTTTAACGATACGAATACCCCACGAAATACATTCATTTTTTTGTCCACAGGAATCCTGTAAAATGCTGTGGTTGGAAGGAGTCTGGCTATGAGAGCTTGCATTATTTCTGGGTAAATATAAACCTATATGCAATATCTTGGTAGGCTGGAAAACATATTATTTGAAAATGTTAGTTGGCATAACTATGAGGTAATTTATTATCAAATAGACTACATGATCAAGAAACTACCACCAACTACCAACTGCATGGCATTAGTCAAAATAAAATTTAAAAATGCAATTTTTGTACAGATTTTGAACACCATTTTTAAAATATACATTATTTGACAAAATGTGGTCGATGCTATAAATTTAGGTCATAACGATAACATCCTTTAAAAGAAAAATAAATACTGCCTTTTATTAATTCTAAATGTGTGTTTCTTATTTTTGAATTGGGGTATTTAAAGGTTCTATTTTAATATAGCATTATGAAATCTCAAAATAAATAGCAAGAAACAACACACACTTTTAATGCCTTGTATCTTCAATTTTAATTAACAGCTAAAAAGTTAGCACGAAGTATCTAGGTAAGAAGTCTGAAATTAGCACCATGTTTAAAAGACTCCTGAGCAAACCCATGAACTCTGCATGGCTTCAGCACCCTTTTTTGTTAAATGGGTAGCTGCCCAGATATCATCTCCTGATACCATTTCTCCTTCAAGAAATGGCTAATTGGTTCTAGGTCTGGAACACACACAAGGTGACCCTGAACATCTCGTCTACCAGACAGCAAGGACGCTGCCAGAGACTATTAGAATCAGGTCAGAAGAAATCAGAGGCTACCTGGAGGGGCTCCCACTGGCCAGCACGGGCACATTAGAGCATTAGTGTAACAGCTGCAATGGATCGAAAACAAATTGAGCCATGACTTCAAAATAATAACAAGTCACTCATCATCTTTGGATGACACCACAAAATTAACTCACTACACTGAACATTGGTAGTCAAAATGGGGAAACATCAAAATGCACCTTGTATAACCTAATAGTTGATTAGGGGAAGATTCCCTTTATAAAATATTGCAGGTAATAAATAAATAATGAATGACAGAATCAAAATACCACCATTTCACAACCTCTAAACAATTGATGGATCTAAGTAATAATCTTAACACCTGCTAAACATCACAAAAAGAGACAAGGAGACATTCTGAGCCTCCTGATGAAAGTATGTATCACCAACAATGAGACAGCACTGAAAACAAAAACTAACTCGAATCTGAATAAGCTCTGGAACTAATTATCATTCATAGGAAATTCGAGAAAAAGAAGAGTATGTTAAACACCACCATGGAGATTTACTCATCGATATCCAAGCTACAGAAAACTCCACAGGTAAAACAACCCAACTTCTTCAACAAATAACTAGCAAAGCAAACAAAAAAAAAAAAAAAAAAAAGGAGGAGGAAGAAAAGGGAACCTATACACTAAAGGAGATTTAAGACATACCAACCAATCGCAATGTATGGCCCTTAATCTGTATCCTGATTCAAAGAAATAAACTTGAAAAAATAAATCAGACAATGGGGATAATGTGAATACTGTTTATTTGATACCAACATTTCATTATTATTTTTAAGGTGTGCTAAATGTATTTTACTTATGTGTGAAGGTTCCTTACCTTTTAGAGATACATATAAAAATATTAACTGATGAAATATGTTGGTGCTCTATTTCAATCCAAGGAAACTGGCATAGAAACAGGTGGAATTGTGGACGAAACAAGAATGGTAATCAATAGATAATAGGGGGTTGGAAGAGATGATCTAAGTTTCCTTCTAACTCCTAAATTCTGGTATTAACTAAAAGACACCCAAATGAAACACTCTATCTCTACCTAACACATCCCCAATTTTAATCATTAGAATCCTTTTATGAATAAATTATGTCTAACGAGCATCTGAAAATTAATAATGAAATAATAGCCAGGAAAAATGATCTCTTAAAACATAGAGTAATGAGTCACATGCCCTTCTAGTAGCGATAAGTATTATAACACTATATTCATCAGTCTCATAAAACTATATTCATTAAATCAGGCACTATGGGATAAAAAAAGATTTTGAAGTGGGCAAAAGAGGAAAAAAAAGACTAGTCTCCTGTGTGGGTCATCCATCTGGGTTAACTTCGCCTTTTAGTGTTAACTTCGTCTTTGAGCTATTTTACAACATTGTAAGTTACAGAAAAATGATAATAATGCAAACGATTCTTGTCCGCAGAAATGCAGATTGCTGGTGTCTGGCTGGAATGCAATAAATCACAGCCTTGTGCACAGACGGTGTTCGTGTCTGTCTGTAAGTTCACTTCTGCATCCTTTTATTGCATATACATGTGTGGCTCTGAATTCTTGGCCACTTTTTCATCTTATTTATTCCCTCTGTAAAAAGTTGGAAATCCAGAAATACATCAGAATTTAATATATGATAGGTACTAAGTGGAAAGGATGAAATTATTCACTAAACGGTACTGATGCAATAATTAACAGCTAACATTTAGGGAATAGTAACTACTCACCAGTCAGTATACTGGATGTTTATATTAAAATACAACTCATTTTACAGGTACAGAAACTGGGGCACAGAGAGGGCAAGTAATATTTCCAAAAGTCCACATCTGGTAATAGAAGACATCAAGATTCAAACCCAAGCAGTCACCAAATATTACATAATCTTGGGTAGTAAAAAGACCTAAATAATTCATTTGGCTCTATACTTTATTCCTTACTCACAAAGAAATTCTAGGTTAATCAAAAAGGTGGACAATGTGTTGAAAGAACTGGAACATCTATAGGTACATATTTCTACAATCTAAGTGGAGAATGTTTTACTAAATATAAAAAATTTCAGAAGCCATAAGGATAAAATTGAGCTAGATTAAAAACAAACAAACAAAATACTTCTAAGATGCTAAGAGTACCATAAATCAAATTAAAACAACTTAAGAGAAAAAAGTTTCTAAAATATATGACAGATTAATTTTCTGAACATGCACATTAATAAATGTATTTTTAAAAGGTAACCTAATATGAAAAACAAATTAACGTACCGGTCCCTGAAAAAAATTAAAGAGAAGTGGTAATGAAATCATATTAGTGAAGGCTGTAGAGCCACCCACTCTGGTGATCTATTGGCGTATCACTTAGAAATAGTTTTAAAAATTTTAAATAAACATAGTCACTGGCTCATCAATTCAACTTCTGGAAATTTATAATCCCAGATTTACTTGTCCAAAATTGCAAAGATATTTTTACAAGGATGTTCACCATAACATTATTTGTATATGTTTTTCAAAAAACAAACCTGGAAGCAACTGAAATGTCCACCTATAGAGAACAAGGGAAAAAACTATGATGGGTCTATAGTGAAATACTATTCAACTATTAAAAAGAATGAGATGAATATACATACATGTGTTAAATGGAAAGGTGCACAAGATATACCACAGTAAGTTAAAAAAAAAAAAAGCAAGCTGAAGAACAGAACATGTAGTATTGTAAAAAAAAAAAAAAAGTAAACAAAAATGTATAGGTGTCTATAGCCAAAAAAAAAAACCTTTGGAAGAAAAAGAAAAAAGTATATGCTGCTATATCTATAGAAAATAGATGGGAGCTAGGCATAAAAGGGGACTTCATAACTTTTTTTTTCATTGACTTCAGTTTGAATTATTTTTTTAACAATAAAACCTGTATTATTTGCTTAATACAAAAATTTCATCCCTTATCAGTATGTGAAACGAAAGACTACTCTTTAACTTATTCCACAGATATTTATTGAACACCTACTATGTAACAGATACTACAACTAAGTAGGGGATGCGAGGAAGGAAACAGAATTAAAAAACCCACAACCTGAAGATAATTCTCTTAATATATGGACACAAAAAAATACAAAATGAAAAACAATTTTTTAAACTTTCATTAGAAAGGCAAGACTAACTGCAAGTGACAAGACAGAGAGTCAAGAGAAAGCTAGGCCGAATCTTAAAGATTAAGCACATTAGAACTGACAAAAATTTATCAAAAACTGGAAACAAGCACACAGCAATATACCAAAAGACAGAAACATGTACATTAATATGAAAACCTACAACTACGTATTTTGATAAAGAAACATATGAATTAAACCTCAGGATTTTAAAGCCAAAATAGTACATCAATTAAAAAAATAAATGCTAGAAAAATTACTATTTTCATTCTGATTTTACCACAGCATTATGAGAACATTATTGGATATTTTGTCCCCAGAATATCACAGGTGGGTCAACACAGCGGTTTGCTGGTAGACCAGCTCAGGAGAGAGAGGAGGAGGAAGCCGGCCATAAAGCCCTGATCTGTACATTCGCCGATTTCCAGGGTATAAATACTCAACCACGGCTGACTTCAGGCACCAAGGGCTTACCAAGCAGCTCACCAACATCTGAGTATTTAACAACTGACCCTCGGAAACTGGTAGAGGCCAGCTCCAGCGCACCCCTGGGTATACGGTATATTTAACAATCGAGGTAAGGGGTCTTCTTAAAAACTAATGGGGATTTTTTTTAAAAAAACCTCTAATTTAAAGGATAATGTAGGGCCGGCCGAGTGGCGCAATGGTTAAGAACTCACTTGGGATGCCAGAGGGCCCCGGTTCGGATCCCACATATGAGGGCCAGTGACACTGCCCTCCACAGCTAAGATGCTGAACAACAGCTCAACCTGGAGCTGGGCTGCCGTGAGTCGCTGGGGACTGTGTAGGCTGCAGTCCCTGTGGCAGTGGGTTGCCATGAACTACCGTGTGTAGCCAGCAGCCAGCGTGAGCGGCCAGCAGCCGCAGTGAGTGGCCGTCCAGAAGCCGGCGACAGATCTGCCTCTCCAGGGAAGAGCGCAATGATGGTGCCAACTTGGGCCAGTGAAGCAACGTCCTCCACAACTAGATTGAAGAACAAAATGACAGCAACTTGTCTGTTCCCCTTCCCCAATCCCCCAGCACTGTTCCCATCCCCCCAATTCCCCAATAAAATCTTAAAAAAATAAAAAAAAATAAAGGATAATGTATATATATTAATACTCACAAGTCTTACATGTATAGGTCAATGAATTTTCAAAAAGTGAAAGATTTAGGCTTTTCAAAACAGAACTGTCCATAAAACATCTTTTTGAGCGGCCGGGTGGTTCAATTGGTTAGAGCAGGTGTTCTGAGCAACAGGGTTGCCGGTTTGATTCCCACATGGGCCAGTGAGCTACGTCCTCAGCAACTAGATTGAAGACAACAACTTGAGCTGAGCTGCCAGTGGGCATCCGGATGGCTCAGTTGGTTAGAGCACGTGCTCTTAACAATAAGGTTGCCAGTTCGACTCCCGCATGGGATGGTGGCTGTGCCTCCCGCAACTAGATTGAAAACAGCGACTGGACTTGGAGCTGAGCTGCGCCCTCCACAACTAAGACTGAAGGACTTGCAGCTGATGCGTCCTGGGAAGGGCACACTGTTCCCCAATAAAGTTAAAAAAAAAAAAAAGTCTTGTTACACTATTAAAATCATCTCTACTATAAACGTAAGTGGCTTGAAAAAGTTTAAAGCTGTGATCTAACTTTTACTTCCCTTTCTGTCTCTTATAGAATTCATTTTTAAACCCTGGAAGCACAGCTCACTGCTCCTCCTGCTGGAACCAGGAGCACATCTATCTCCAGGAGGGAAAAGGCAGCCCTGAGGAAAGACCTGCTCCTCTTCTACCACAAAAAAAGGGGAATGAAAACAGTGGCCTTATCAGAGAGCCCTAACGTGGTCTGTGTGAGCCAGCACAGAAGATCAACAGCACAGTCATCTTGAAAAAAAGTATATTCACAAAGGAAATTACCTTCCTGGTGGAACCACAGCCCACATCTGTAACGGAGTTAACAAGTTCACAGGGGCACACACAGCTCTCCAGGAAAGCTACAGGGCAGTGTGACAATTCTCTACCTTCCCATCAGTGGACGGTCCCCTCCCAGGGCGATCCCCTCACCTATACCTGCCTATCTGCCAAAGTGATTACCTCTCTGTTCACCATTCCTATCAGCACAGAAATGTTCCTCTATTGTGTTTTTGAACATGTTTACATCAACTTTATTGAGGTATAATTTACATGCAATAAAATACACGCTCTGAAGTGTATGGTGCTGAGTGGTGCCGATGTACACAGCTACGTGTGACACTTCTGCTACCCACGACGCTCCCTCACGTCCCCCCCCAGTCAATCCCACCCCTCCACTTCCAGCCCCCAGGTGACATCTGATCTGCTCTGCCATCATCCATGGGTTTTGCTGCTACAGAATTTCATAGCGATGGAATCATACAGTATGTTCTCTAGTCTGCCTGGCTTCTTTCAGTATGTTTGAGATTCACCTGTTTTTGTCTCAGAAATATATTCCTTTTTACTGCTCAGTAGTATTCCAAAGAAAGGACAATTCCAACTGTAAGACAGAAGGGAAGAAAGAGGGAACAGATTAAAAATAAAGAGGATTTCTTAGGTAAAAATGAAGAGGATTTCTGAAATGAAGAGAAGAGCTGAATGATGAAGGGCAGGCTGAAGGAGAACACAAACACTCCCGGGAGCTGAGCGGGATGGTGGGCGAACAGGACCCTCCTATACTTGACAGAAGAAACAAGCTTTCTGGAAGGAAAATTAGACATATGCATCCAACGCTTTAAAACTGGACATGCCCTACAGCCAGCCACTCCACCTCTGAGGCTGGGTCCCAGGTCAGTCAGTAGGAAATGCACAAAGGTGCAACCTCCAAGCCACAGGCTGTAGCACTATTTATAACAAACAGAACCAAGAACCACTGAAGTGTCCAACTACAGGGAGCTGGACAAATAAGTGATGAGACATTCTTTACTTAGAAAGCTACACTGGCATTTTAAAGAGACATTCAGAAAGTACGATTTGCTTATTCATTCAGACAATATTTGCTAAGTGCCACTATGTACATAGTACAATGAACTTCAGTCAAAACTTCTGCCCCAGTGGAGCTTATATTCAGGAGAAAAAAACTGGAATTGATGACAAGATGGCCTCGGATGGTCTCCTTTTTAGTGTATTTGTGTGCACATCTGCATATGTATGCACGCACGTATTTGATGTTATCTGCCTAGAATAGGGGTCAGCAAACTGCAGCTCGCGAGCCACATGCGGCTCTGAGTACATTCCGTCTCAAGTTTGCAGACCCCTGGAAGAGCCAATCCTGTCCCTCACAACAATTTAAAAATTATTTCAGAGCCATAAATATATTTTTACATAATCGCCATTATGTGAATATCCTTTAAAAGTTTTACAAATGAAACTATGATAGTTTTATTTTCATTTTCAATTTTACTTCAAAGTCACATGTACGTACAGTTTGCTGACCCCTGGCGGCTCTTCCGTCTCAAAAGTTTGCCGAACCCTGGCCTAGAAGATACCTTAACTAAAAGTTTTCTGGTCATTAACTCTGAACGGTGCTGAATAAGGACATTATTTTCCTTTATATTTTCTTAACAGTTCTAAAATAAGGGTACTTTCCTAGTCCATTCAAACTGCTGTAACAAAAACAGAAGAAACTGGGTGGCTTATCAACAACAGAACTGTATTTCTCGCAGTTGTGGAGGCTGGAAGCCCAAGGTCAAGGTGCCGGCAGGGTTGGTTTGGGTGAGGGGCTCTTCAGGCTGCAGACTGCAGGCTTCCTGCTGTGTTCTCATGTGGAGAAGGGGTAAGGGAGCGCTGGGGTCCCTTTTCTACAGGCATCGATCCCATTCCTGAGGGCTCCCTCGTGACCTCCTAACCCCATGGCTTTTGGCATCAGGTCTCCAACATGCGGGTGGGGCGAAGAGGGCACAGACATTCGGGCTACAGCAGGTACATGAGTTATGCAGTCTTTTTCAAAGTGTTTACGGAAGAATTCTCACAGAGGACCAAGAAGAGTCGGAAGTCTGACTGCTCCTCCCACCCGAGGCATGACCCCGCCCTCTCACCTCATCTTCAGCTTGCTGCTCAGAGGTCAGTTTCAGCACAACCTTGCACTGGTCCACGAAGGTGCTTGCCAGCAACTGGGCGTGGCTCAGAAACACAGGGACTGCATCCCGGGCCAGGGGTTCGTCAGCCATGACCTTGGCTATCGTAATGTCCAACAGCGTAATCCTGCAAACATAACAGGTTTTACATGAATACGCAATACTGAAACTAGACAACGCCAAAAACATGTACGGAGACCATTTTAAGGGAATACTTTTATTGTCAGCTTTCTTACTTTGCTTATAATGTCTACAGAGGGAAAACATATTTTTGTGAGTCAAATTAATCATCGATTACCTAGTTTTTAAAATCTTGACTTCTTTGATGTGACATGACTACAGAAACAAGCACCTTTTATATCCATTACTTTGAGCACTAAAATAATTCAACATTTCAGAAATGCTGTCAGTTTAAGTTTTATAATCCATCTCCAATAATAACAATAGCAAAGTGAAGTGGGCTAACATTTATTCACTACTTACTATTGAGCCAGGCGTTTTACACACATTTTCTCATTTGAGCTACACAAAAACTCCACGAGGCAAGTATTGTCATGAGCCTCTCACTACAGATGGGTAAATAAGGCTCAGTGAGGTTCGTTTACTTGCCCAGTGTCACACATACTAAGCTGCCTGCCATGACAGGATTCAAACACAGGACGCCATCTCTGACTCCAGGGCCGGGAGCCTAGCCACCCACTGTACTGTCTTCCTTATGAAGGTCGGCTTTTTTGTTTGTTTCATCATTTCAGCTTACAAAAACACAAATCTGAAGTCCAAACCTATGCCACTTTTTACATCAATACTTAAATCATCAAATAAATATTTCTATTCAACAGCCTTTTTCCTTCTCCTAGGCCATCTATCCAGCATAAATCAAGTCAGGCGTTCCTCCAAATCGTACTTTGATCTGGGGTTATATGTATAAATCGTATTCATTTCTATACCAGAAAGGGTATGAGTATCTAAAACGCGCAGCAAACGGGGAAACACCTCCATCAGGTATGGGGCATTCCTTACTGAAAGAGAAGTAGAAACTACCGTATTTCCCCATGTATAAGACGCACCCCTTTTCGAAAAATTTTTGGTCTAAAAACTGGTTGTACATTTTTTTAACTTGCATTTCTCACCTTTTTCGCGCTTGTTTTTGTTTGTGTGTGTGCTCATACAACCACTGTATAAGACGCACCCAGTTTTTAGACTTTTTTCGAAAAAAGGTGCATCTTATACATGGGGAAATATGGTATTTACTGCTTCAGGTAAGAAATAAAAAACTAGTATACTGAACTTTTCCTGTATTTTGATGGGAAAGATCATCAATCTGGAAAAATCACCCACAGACCCTAATGATGTTCAAAAAACTCCTAAAACCTGATTCTTTACACAATTATTAATCCAAAATAAAACAAACAAATAATCCCCTAGACTGAGCACAAAAGAACAAGTCGTTCAGTAGTAGGGGAGCTTTGTTTTCCTTTATTCACATATAATCTGATAAGTAATTTTATCAGAGGAAGTCACAGGTGCGCTCAGAGCACAGGGTGGAGGAATGAGGAACAAAACGGATGGGTCATCCTGGGGAAAGCCCGAACACCAGCAGATTATGAGTAAGAGGCAGGTCCTAAAGGAGTTGTGGGAGGGTCAGGACAGAAGGGGGAGCCCGGGGTGGCGGTCGTCCAGAGACAGGCCCTGGGGCCCAAGGGGACGAAGTGAGGGCGACCTGGCAGCTGGCGCTACAGGACAGGAAAAAGCAGAGCTGCCTTCTTTACACAGTCACCCGAGACAGTCCTTCCCTCCGGGGTTTCTCCCAGGCTCAGCAGGTGTGCGCTCCACTCTATGATGTCATTCTAAGACAGGGCATCTAAGGACATGGGCAGTGAGTGCCTCTGAAGGAAAAAGGCCTGAACATACAGGCAGACAGACAGCTGTTGTCAGCAACGAACCTTTAAAATACAAAAATATAAATTCACCTGAGAATAAATTACACTGCATTAAATGATGCCAGTTACTTTAAGTCATCCGCCAATAAAAACTTTTAATGGCTCTAGCTATTAAGGAGCAAGCAAGTCCCGAACGTTTCAGTCGGGTACATGGGGCCCCCCAACCAGTCCCCACCTGACTATCCACCTCCCTCTACCTCGCTGCCCTCAAAAACCACCCTTCTTACAACAAAGGGGTCACCCAGAGACACACAAGTAGGAAATTCTTCAAAATCATTTCCTTGTGGCTGCACCTGCTTGTGTGGTATTTGCTGTCCGTTTGTAGGCCAGAAAGCATGTGTGTGGAAACGTACTGCACAGTCAGGGAAAACGGCACATAATGGGAACATCTGACTTCTTCCAGGTGGGGAGAACCACACACCATACTGCCTTGAAAACATAAACTATGAGTGGCGTAACAAGTGCTTGTCCCCCATTGATGTATTTATTCACTCAGGGGAGAAGGATGCAAAAGCAAGGAAAGCCCAATCAGAGAGGTCAGAGATGAACTGTCTAAAGTCATCACACATCACTAGCAAAGTGTGGCTTCCTTTAACCCAGAAATCATGACTCAGGCTCCTCAGGCTCACCAGACACAGCCCTGCAACTGAGTGTCTATACGATTCTCTCTCGATCACTGGATCGTTAACACTCTATTTCTAATTCACTTCTGATTAAGTAGTCACATACTCTGTCCTCAACATGATGATTCCTGTTTCATTAAAAAATAGACAGCAAACACACCCAGCGAGTCCTCCATGTGTGCTTGCCTGCTGCGCTCCTTCACCTAGAAAACGTCCTTTGTCCTCACACGTGCCCGGCAAACCCCTGCCCACCCCACAGGCCTGTCCAATGCTACCTCTCCCATAGTCTGTCCTTACTCCCCAGGACACACATGCTACCTCTCTCCCCTCTCCCTCATGTCCCTAAAGCACTGTGTCTGTCCCCTACTGTACTATCTAAACCCCGATTTCACTGCTCCCCACGAGGGCTGTCGCAAAGATCCCAGAAAGGCTCCAGGGTCCTTGGGGGCAGGCAGTGGCACCCAGCTGTGGCCTCTCCTTGAAGAACATAGGAGACTGCCCTGCTCAGGGCAGGAAGTCAACACTACTCACTGGAATGAAGCAAACCAAAGCGATTCTGCTGTAAGTAAAACCGCACGGGGTAGAAAGTGCACGGAGTCTTTTCTTCTCGCCTGTGTAAGGCATACCATGTGTGTCTCCTACACTCAGACCCATTTCCTCTCATCCTACGTGGTGAGGTCACACAATTTGCCAGTGTAATTAAATTACTTCCATGTGATTACATGTGCAGTTGAGAGGGCACAGAAACAAAAGTGCAAATCTTGAGCCAGGATATTCTGGGTTGATGTTTCTTTTCTTTTTTTTTTAAGATTTTATTGGGGAGTTGGGGGAGGGGAACAGTGTTGGGGAATCGGGGAAGGGGAACAGACTAGTTGCTGTCCTTTTGTTCTTCAGTCTAGTTGTGGAGGATGTTGCCTCACTGGCCCATATTGGTATTATCATTGCACTGTTCCCAGGCAACGCAGATTGGTCGCCGGCCATTAGACGGCCGCTCACGGCAGCTCTTGCCGGCTGCCGGCCGCTCATGCTGGCTGCCAGCCATTCACAGTAGCTTACGACAGTCCACTGCCGCCCCACTGCAACCTACGCCGTCGCCGGCGACTCACGGCAGCCCAGCTCCAGGTTGAGCTGTTGTTCACCATCTTAGCTGTAGAGGGCGCAGCGTCACTGGCCCCCATGTGGATCCGAACCAGCGGCCTTGCTGCTCAGAGCTCACGCTCCCAAGCCAACTCTTAACCACTGAGCCGTTCGGCCGGCCCTGGGCTGATGTTTCTCAAAAATGAAGTTTGCTGCAGATGGGAATCTGGCTGCAGCCGTGGAACCACATGAAATAGGAATTACGAAGACCCGCCTCCAATAAACTCTATCTCCCAATGAAACTGAGGACTTCAGTCGTCATTCGCTTCTTTATGCTTTCACTGAACATCTGTTGACAGGTCATGACAAACACCATGGCTGTCATGCCATCAACAGTAGAGAATCACACCACGATTCAGGAGAAATAAACCACCAGGTGAAAGAGAACGTTTCTCTTTTCTTAGCGGTATTCAATGTGTATGTTCTCATAGTGTGTTGTTGGGTGTTTTACGCTTTTTACGTATAACACGAATGTTATCTTACCTTAATGGCCTTTGGCTGTAGATGGCATAGGGCAGTAGTTATCAGGGCAGACGCCAGAGCCAGGCTGCCTGGACTGGGATGTGGTTGATTAAATGTGCAATTTCTGACTCACACATATTCTCATATAAAATAAGCATTTTGAAAAGAGCAAGGTCTTATCCTAGACTTTTACCTTACCATCTCATTGTGCCTGGAAGGATTAGCTAGTGTCGACCTTCTGCTGGCCTTGGGCGTATCTCTGCTGCACCTCCCTCCGCCCGCCCCCCAAAAGTATCAGGGACTGTAAAATTGTTTTTAAGAGAGTTACTCCAGAATGACAACAGCACTGTCACCCACATGACAACATGATGCTGCTGAAACTCAGTATCCCTTCCTTGAATACTAACGTGCTGGGCAACTTGGGTGTTCTTAGCACTTGGCACACCACAGAAACCCACTGCATATACATTTATTAAAAATAAAGACTGAAGCTCCACAGGAACAAATCATCTAGCAACGGCACACTTCAGTTTAGTATTCTCCAAGCTTTTCTGATCAATAATTTCCATCACACACCTCCAATATATGTTAATTTACAGATAACCTACAACTGTCAAACTAGGTATGAAACATTAATAAAGCTTAAATGCTTTATTGTTTTAGATAACAAGTAAATATAAGTACATGTTCTAATATTTTCTTGCCACACTCGGCAGGCTCGTCTTGCGTGCCCCACGCTGGAGACGTTGTTCTAATGGAGCAATGACAAAACAATGGCTGTCACCAAATAAAGGACAGGAGCCTGGAGAAGGAGCAGCAGCGCGGCTGAGAGACTCGGTCACAGGGGTGAGTCCTGCGGGCTTGCCTCGGCTTCCCGCCCTGCCCTCTCCCTCTGCCCTGGCAGCTCTTTTTAGGCCCGTTCCCCAGGATGTCAGAAACCAGAGATTTCCATCTCACTGTTTGACACCTTTCCCCCCAGAACACAAATGAAATGAGGAAGCGGAGCTAAGTGGGGCCAAGCACTGCCACTGAGCAAAGACAATAGTCCCCACAGCTAGTGTCACCAAAACCCCGCTGAGAGCAACCCACTGTCTAAAGTGTCAACAGACAGCATCCTAAAGACATGTTTCAGTGAGTCTGATGTTAGCTGAGTATCCCCTGTTCCAATACTGATTCTGGTGGGTGTTAAGGACAGAGAAGTCACAAGACTCAGTCTTTGTCCTTGAAGAATACATATTCTAGCAGAAAAGCAAACAATGATGATAAACCTGCAGGTGACATGCCAAGAATTTTGCCTGGGAAAGTCATAAAGCCAACAGAAAGCAGGTAATAACCAGATGAGCTCATACAGCATGAGTGGCATCAGGTACAGGAGAGGCGTGGTCAGGACACTCTGGATAGAGAAACAACAAACAAATGCAAAAGCAGTCAACTACAGGGGAAGGCCCTGGAGAATGGGCCCAATGGGCCCAGAGAACGGTGAGAAGTTGTGTGTGGGGAGGGGGTGGGGAGGAGCTGGAAACGAAGCTTTAGGAAGGGCCTCATATGCCATAGCAGGGAGTTATTTAACTGTGTCCTGTACAGGTTACACATGCGACTAAAATAGCAGGGCCCAATTGACGCTGACAGTACAGTAGGTAACAGGGGACAAAGGAAAAACAAAGACATCAGGGCCGGCCGAGTGGCGCGATGGTTAAGAACTCGCTTGGGATGCCAGAGGGCCCCGGTTCGGATCCCACATATGAGGGCCAGTGACACTGCCCTCTACAGCTAAGATGCTGAACAACGGCTCAACCTGGAGCTGGGCTGCTGTGAGTCGCCAGCGACGGCGTGGGCTGCAGCCCCTGCTACAGTGGGTTGCCATGGGCTACCGTGTGTAGCCAGCAGTCAGCGTGAGCGGCCAGCAGCCGCAGTGAGCGGCCGTCCAGAAGCCGGCGACTGATCTGCCTCACCCGGGAAGAGCGCAATGATGGTGCCAACTTGGGCCAGTGAAGCAACATCCTCCACAACTAGACTGAAGAACAAAATGACAGCAACTTGTCTGTTCCCCCTTCCCCCAATTCCCCAGCACTGTTCCCATCCCCCCAATTCCCCAATAAAAATCTTTAAAAAAAGAAAAACAAAGACATCAGACCCACCCATGTTCACAGCAGCATCAGTCACAATAGCTGAAAGGTGAAAGTGGCCCAACTGTCCACTGATGGGTGACCGGATAAGTAAAACGGGATACAGACACACAGTGGCCGCCTTACGAGGAAGGAAATCCTGACACAGCTATACAGGATGAATCTGGAGGACATCACGCTAAGGGAACTAAGCCCGACACAAAAGGAATCACTGTGCGATTCCACATACATGGGATACAGTCCAACTTAGAGACAGAAAGTAGAGTGGCGGCTGCCGGGGCGGGGGCGGCGGGGTACAGTTTCAGCTGTGCAAGATGAAAAAGTTCTGGAAATTGGAATATATTTAACACTACTAAACTATACACTTAAAAATGGTTAAGGTGGTACATTTTACATTGTGTATGTTTTATCACAATTTTTTAAAAGGCTATTTATTTAGCCCAAGTCTAGTCCAAGATGGCGTAAGGGTAAACCAGAGCTGTGACAAGAGCGTGAGTTCACAGGCTACCGAGATGGCGATGTGGGAAGCCTTGCTGATCAGTGCGACCTGAGAAGTGGAGGTGGTGGGCCTGAGGCTGCCTCTGAGGTTTCTAATCTGGTAGGTGATATCACGTTAATCATTACACTAACTGAACCTTTTCATGAGTAAGAAAGTTCATTCATTTACTCACGCTTTCATTCAGAATACTTTTTTTTTTTTGCACCTGTTGCGTGCCAAACATGGCCTGGGAAATGTAGATACCACAGCAGAAGAAACATCAAATCCTCGCACAGCGAACAATCCCAGGGAAGCGTCATGTTAGCAGCAAGCTGGTACGGGACACGATATGATGTACAATCCATTATTTGGGAATGTTAGCACTTCTCCTTTGGAAGAAAAATAAAGGAGCAGCGGGAGGTATAACACAGGGAGAAGCTCCCATGAAGTCAGGGAGCAGCGGCTGCAACCATTTTATAAATAAAATGGAAAACGATCAGTCTATCACCCTCATTTGGTTAGGTAATGATCAGTTAAAAAATACCTCACTCAATAGGAACAGGGAAAATATTAACTTGAACATTAAAATACAATTAAACTACGTATTCTTCCTGTATCCAGGCGTTCCTTACTTCAAAGCAATTTACTCTTTTTAGCTCTGCTCATCATGTTACTTATTTTAGGTAAAAAACAACAACACTACAAATAATTCTTTTTCTGCAATAGGAGTATCCACATGTGGTGGTGGCAGGGGCACTGGCATTATAAACGTGGGATTTAAACTGACTTGAAAAGCACGAACCTTTCCTTTTTGTGAAAGACATTAAACCAGAAAAACTGCGCCTTCTCAGGACTACAAAGGGGCGCATAGGCTTAATTGTCGGAACCCAGAGAGCAGGAATTTCCAAACCACCGCAATTATAAAAATTGTGACTACGATCAAAACATTAACATTTCTTGAAGTTCTGGATCATTAGGTTAGTTTTTGATCATCAGATTTCTGAGTCAGTTTTATTTTCCTAAGACGACATTTCCAACGGGGCTCGGAAGAACACACACTCTTGCAATAGAAAGAGTCCTGGAAGTTATTCTAGTCAATCCTCTAATCTGACAGGTCAAGAACTGACTCCAAACACGGTTAAGAGACCTGGCAGGTCATGTGCAGAGTTTCTAGCACAGCGAGGCCGGGAGCCTGGGTGGTTCTCCAGGGCACTGCTCTTCCTGCTAGAGCAGCGGAGGGAGCACACACACTGCTGACCCTCCTGCAGACTGGAGGACCTCTGGAAACTACACACCTGGTAGAGAATATCCCTAATCACTGTACTCGTGATGTGAACAGATGAGCACACTTCAAACACGCAGCTGCAACGTACAGTTGCATGAACGACTATTATAAAATCATGATGCAAGCATAGCAGTTTGTTCTTGACGATTTTAATGTGCCTTTACTGGAAAATGGCGCCAACCTGGATTCTGCAACCCTCCGTTAATCACCGCCTGTTGTGGCTGCCTAAGCTGTAATGTTAACCAACCAATTTAAAACCATTACTGACACAGAAGCATGTATTTAGAGATTTTGTGCCAACTACGAAACCACACAGTTTTTCAGTCATCTGTACAGGATACTCTATATGGAATGCTAAATACTCAAAACCACACTGGTTTTGGGGGTTACCTTTCTTGATTGCTCATTTTGGCATACATGGCTTGTACCAGTTCCGGGCTTTTCAGAAAATGGTCTGTAATAACCAAGAACCTAAGAAAAATGAGGAGAAAGTTTGGTTACTAGAAACATAGTAAAACAGACATGGCTTTACCTACTTCATAGGCGTATCTTACACATAAAAGCACTCTTTTATTGAATTTTTGATTAGTAGTATCTTAAAATGTTTTTTTCTATTAGCAGCTGAAGGAAAATTAAAATGCTCAAAATATTTTTCTCCAATTTTAAGATATGAAAAATTTACTGAAATGATTCAAATTTATTCAACTGGAGCAAAGGGTCTATGATAGCTTTTATCTAAGCTGAGAAAGGAAAATACTTCACCATAGTTTAAACAGTAAAATGAAATTTAGCTGCAAGTTCAAGTATAAATAGAAGACATTAAACTGTTTTAGTCAGAAGCTTAGTGCTAACATTAACCAGAGAAACAGACATATCATACTTTTTATTTAAACATATGCCAACAGCACAGTAATGAATACCGGCTTGATTATCTACTCTTTAAGAGCTCTCAAGTTACCAAGAAAACATCCTCATTGTCAAGCGATGCAGTCATCTAAACTTAGAGATCAACTTATGGAAACCCCCAGGCAAAGATTATAAGCATATTTCTTCAAAGTGCCACTGTGACAACTAAAAAGATTGAACAGTATTATTAATTAATTCTGAATCATATTTACCAGGGGGCATCTGAAGACTTAAGAACTAAAGAATACACTGTTTATAACCAAGATTATAGTAATAAGAGTCACTGTTAAGTATTAAATATATTTACAATCACAGTTTACTTAATCACTTCTTAACCAATAAAATAAAATAATAGCAGTAGGGCTTTCAGTATGATAACCAAATGAAGCACTTTATATAAAAACAAAATCTAAACATTCCACAACCTTTAAAATAACTGGTCAACACTTTGATGTAAAATATTTCTAACGATAAATGGACAATATTCAAAATTCTCAAACAATTTTCCTATCAATTTTGGTAGTTCATCAAACTGCAACAATAGAAATTTGTGCATTTCAAGCCAGATACACAAAGCTGTGATCCTAGTTAATTCATGTAATTCAGCTATTTGGAACTTAAAACACTTTCCCATAGAAACATTCATTCAAAAACACAACGTTCCAAGTACTGTGCTAGGGACTAGGTCACGGGCCATATTTGCAAACTCTAACAGTGGAGAAGACCCATACATAAATAGATACTTACAGAAAACTGTCTTAAGTGCAACATACAAACACACATTTTGGATTATAAAAACAATGAAGTTTATCTAACCAGAAGGCCGGGAGGGAAGGGCGACAAAGGATGAGTGAGATCAAGGAGGCTGCAACAGGGGGAAGGAGAACACTGAATTAGACATGATAAAAAAAAAATCGGGCTGGCCGAGTTGCGCATTGGTTAATAGCTGGCTTGGGGCACCAGCTCTGAGCAGCAGGGCGCCGGTTTGGATCCCACATGGGGGCCAGTGACACTGCCCTCTACAGCTAAGATGGTGAACAACAACTCGACCTGGAGCTGGGCTACCGTGAGTCGCCAGTGACGGCGGAGGCTGCAGCCCCTGCTGCAGTGGGTTGCCATAAGCTACTGTGTGTGGCTGGCAGCCAGCGTGAGCGGCTGGCAGCCGGTGTGAGCTGCCGTCCAGAGGCCGGCGACC